GGCCGCCTGCAGCCTGCCCCACAGCGCCACCACTCTGACACGCCCCCCGCCGCAGGCAGCCTCATTTACAGCTCTCCGGGCCTCCAGCTGGAGCAGGGGGAGCACAGGCTCAGCATCCGGGCAGCACACGCCTCCCCGCAAGGCCCTCGCCCCCAGGCCGGGACCCGTACCTGCTGCAGCAGCGCCCTGAGCGCGGCTATGTTCTCCAGCGACAGGCAGAAGGCGTCCTCGTCCTCACACACCACATCCCGCTCAAAGCTGGTGTCAGGCACATGCTCCAGCTCCTCCATGCAGAGGATAATCTGCCGCTTGATGCTGACGAACTCCTCCCTCCTGCGGCCCTGCAGGTGGAAAGCACGCAGCGCTAGAGGCCAGGGCGGCCATGTCGACTGACTGGCTGAGTGGAAAGGCCGTGCAATTCGCACCAACTACACGATCAGTCGACACAGCGCGGCCGCCTGCGAAGCGCACCAACCCAGGGCAGTGCCCCGCTGGCCCCGTGAGCCTGCGGCGTTTCAAAGCAGAAGCGCCAGGGGTAGCCCAGGGTCAGCAGAGTCCCCAGCTGGGACCAGTACTCCCAGCTCGCCCCGGGCTGCACCCGCCACCGCCCCTCAAAACGCGGCGGGGAGCCCGGACCAGTACTCCCAGCTCGCCCCGGCTGCAGGCTGTTAAGCCCATGTCCTGAATCCTGGGGTAAAGAAAACTGCATTAAAATGCAAAGCATAACATTGATCACTCCAGCAAATTAAACTGGTTTTTTCAATTTATTTAAATGCATATGACAAATTATAGGAAATGTATCCTTTCAGGCAGATTGTTACACATTCCAATCTGAGGCTACGTGATGCTGCACAGAAATCTATCCAGAGGCTTAAACCAGTACAGAATGCAGCAGCCTGCATTTGAAATGTTTCCTCTCAGTGGCAGCATATTAGAGCTCCATGAACTACTCTGGTTGTCAGTTAGTTTTTCAATGGATTTCCAATTGGTTTTGACCTATACAGCCCTACATTGGGATCTACCCCTTAAGAGTATTCTGCTTTTTCCTTGGGGTACTGCCACAGCTATGGTAAGCAGAGGCCCTTAAGTTTAAACCTACCTATTACAAAAGGGGTGGTGCTGAGGACTACTGGCAGTGCATTCCATGGACTTCCTTCCTTTGGATTACTGTGCTAATCAGGGCCTGAAATAGCCTGTATTTATTGACCTACTAAATATGTTGAAAAGCCCATTAGTTTGAGTGAGCAATAGTGGAGCATAGAGCTAACTTTTTGTTTTTAAGGGGTTTTTTGTTTGTTTTTTTAAGGATGGGATTTCTGTCTAGGTGGGAAATGCAACGGGGAAGTATAAACCATGCAGATCATAAGACTGTGATCACAAAATTGTGAAAGAATGAAGAAAATGTTTCTGCCTTTTTTTGTATCTCCTTTGTTCTTGCGTTTTACAATGAATGTCAAAGGTCTGGGTGGTGTTCATTGGTGTGGAAATTAATATTTCAATAAATGCATACATACATTAAAATCATAAACACATTAGATGTGTTATTTTTTTAAAATGTTCATTTATAAAAACATGATTTTTAAAACGTGGCCTTACTCTTTATTTAATATTAAATAAAATCATACACAGTTATCCACCCAGACTATCATAAACGGTTCAACTGAACATCAGCAACAGTGACCTTTCCTGCTATAGTACACTGTATAGTTGGCTAGCCATTCACAGCCTTTGTTTAATCCTAAAGTGATGGTGTCAAATTTGCAGATGAACTGAGTTACAAAGGCTGTGAATGGCTAGCCAACTACAAAAGCAGTTCCTCCTCTCTTGGTGTTCACACCTCCACATCAGCTGCTAGAAGTGGACCTCATCCTCCTGACAGAATTGACCTCGTTATGGTTAGCCTTACTCTTGATTGGAACTCTTTTCTTATGCTTGTATATTAATACCTCCCTCTGGAATTTCCACTACATGCATCTGATGAAGTGAGTCTTTGCCCACAAAAGCTTATGCTCCTATAAATCTGTTAGTCTATACTGTGTTTAAAATTTTCTACAAATTCTCAGTTACTGTTTTCCTAGTACTGCACCTCCATCCGTGCCAGGACGTGTGTGTGGTGAAACCGAACAGTTTTCCAACTTAAGATATGGATATATATCTATAGCACATTTCCTACCTTTGGAAATAAATCCTCTACAGCAGCGTGTGCAGGCAAATAATTAAAATGTAATTGCTCACTGGGAACTTGTTGCATAATTCAGTATCTGCCTTAATAATGGGAGCAAACAGTACGGTTTAGGTATGTTTTTAGAAGCAGATTGAGCTCTTTTCTAAATTCAAGATGAAAAGCAGCCAGATAACTAACTGCATTTGATTTTTAGAATAAAATAGGCAGGCAAATTGGGAGAATAAAGTATCATGATCAAAGCTCCATCACAATATGTTTACAAAGCTGAGAAACTGTGTACAATGGTTTTGGTGCTTTTATTCAAAGTTCTGTCAGAAACTGATGCTTGATTTTGGAGCAGACAATTTTTATCCTTCAGCTATTGTAGAATAAATGCATCCTAGAAGTGACATACTAAGATTAGAGGAGAAATAATAGACCTCAGAAAATCCTGCTTGCCTATACCTGAGGTAACTGGTGTAAACTTCAAAGGAAGTCATTTGCCTCCTGTATACTGTACTTTGATACATTAGTGCTATATATGGTATTCTTTCACCAGAAGTCATTTAGAAGCAGTAAGGACAGGTTTCAATGATGTCAAGGGACTAAGTACTGGAGCT